GCGCGGCCGCTGGGCGGCTCGGCTGCTGGGCGGCTCGGCTGCTGGGCAGCTCGGCTGCTGGGCGGCTCGGCGGCTCGGCTGCTGGGCGGCTCGGCTGCTGGGCGGCTCGGCGGCTCGGCTGCTGGGCGGCTCGGCTGTGCTGCTGCAGGGCGGCACGGCTGGGCAGCAGGTGACGGGGCCGCAGGTAAGGGCGGCGGGGCCGCTAGTAAGGGCGGCGTGGCCGCGGGTAGGGTGGCGGGGTCGCAGATAGGGTGGCGGGGCCGCAGCAGAGGGCGGCGGGGCCGCAGGTAAGGTGGCGGGGCCGCAGGTAAGGTGGCGGGGCCGCAGCAGAGGGCGGCGGGGCCGCAGGTAAGGGCGGGGCCGCAGGTAAGGTGGCGGGGCCGCAGGTAAGGTGGCGGGGCCGCGAGGAAGGGCGGCGGGACCGCTAGGTAGGGCGGCGGGGCCGCGCGATGGGGCGGCGGGGCCGCGAGGAAGGGCGGCGGGGCCGCGCGATAGGGCGGCGGGGCCGCGCGATGGGGCGGCGGGGCCGCTAGGTAGGGCGGCGGGTCCGCGCGATGGGGCGGCGGGGCCGCGATGGGGCGGCGGGGCCGCTAGGTAGGGCGGCGGGGCCGCGCAATGGGGCGGCGAGGCCGCGAGGTAGGGCGGCGGGGCCGCTAGGAGAGAGGCGGCGGGGCCGCTAGGTAGGGCGGCGGGGCCGCTAGGAGAGAGGCGGCGGGGCCGCGAAGACGGGCGGCGGGGCCGCGGAGACGGGTGGCGGGGCCGCAGTGCAGGGCCGCTAGGGCGGCTCGACGAAGTGAGGGCCCGGAGCGCGACTCGGGCTGAGCGCGCTTCGGGCAGGAAAAAAAAATCGATGTGGTGGGCCCTAAGCACAGTTCCCAAGGGGGAACCTGCTCGATACCATGAGAAGATTTGAACAAGAATGAATGAACTATGAAATCAAGTGAGTACAAATATGAAGCCCTAATTGGTTGTACCCCCTATGGAATACCCCACTATAGCCTACACAACAGCATAAGCTATAATGTTCTGACACGTAGTACCCCCCACGCGCGTAATTCCCCCCCCCCCACCCCCACCCCTCGCTTTATCGGGACGAAGTTTCTTCGAATTTTCGTTCCCATACACCCACCATCGAGATCGGGCGAATCTGTAATGTCAGATCTAGTTTGCTGGTCGAAACAGTTGTGCTCTGACACAGCGCCAGTCACATCGCCACAGTGCCAGTCACATCGCCAGTCACATCGCAAGTCACAGCGCCAGTCTCAGCGCCAGTCACAGCGCCAGTCACAGTCACCCTTGCGATTATGCAGAGTGAGAATTCTTTCCCCGGTAAAGAAAGAGCGCGTTACTACGACCCTGATTTTCAATCCTCGACCCTGAACATTCAGAGTTCACTACTTCTCAACCCTGAGCAATCAGGGTGCTGTTTTTCTGGAAAATGTGCCTTCAGGGTAAAAAAAAAAAATTTAGGTTGCACTCAGGGTACCTAAATTTGAAACGTCAGCCCTGCTTCTAAGCCTACTAAGTCAAGCACCTGTTTCAACAAAACTAAGTGTACGGGGTCCGTTGAACAGTGTGCTACATGTTGTGGGGTGGATGCGAATTCATGGGATTTTCAATTTCTTGGAGTCTCAAAGTAGTGAGAGTTGCATAAATGTCACATCTGTTCTATGATATATGAATCCATATAATACTCCCCAGCAGCGTAAGACGGTGCGGTACATATCGAGGAAGAATGTGGGCTGCCAACTTGCCAAGCATTGTCAAATCGAAGCCTATTTCGTGCAACCGTCAACAGTATTATCTGACGTGGAATGCCTGATACTGTGTGTTGGACGCCAGCGCATCGGTTTCACCCATTCAGAGACGAAGGCTCGAGTAGCCGCGCCACGACAGGCAAAAAACAGCCGCGGGAACGGGCACTGCCGTGACACGCGGATTTTCTGCTGCTGTTGAAATGCACAAGGACGACATCGTGTGCCGAGCTGACGTGAGCCAGAGACAGGGATGGCAAGTTTGGTGGTGCACCTATTTCCGTTTCGGAGTTCCTCCTGGAATTGAGGTCTAACGGGCAGAACAAACTGCCATCCATGAGATAACAGCATTTGAATTGATGTCCACAATACTTTCCACACTTTTTGCAGTAAACATGGCAACAAGTTGAGCAATTGTATTACTCACTATATCTATAACCAGTCCAGTGATGTAATCTGGGAAATTATATTTTGTAGAATCTGTCACTTCTGAGTTTGGAATGTTTTACCTTACTAAAAATCAGATCCACGTCAGCTCCAGACACGACGTTTCGCGGCTTGTCGGAAGAAGGCGCGGAATTGAACCGAACCTCCAAACATGCCGCGCAAAAGCGAAACGCCTCGACGCCCAACCAACCAACCCCTCTTCTTCCCTCCTCACCTCAACAACCCTCCCCAAACATCGTGGAGTATTTCAATCCGGGATTCCTCTCCTCGACTCCAACCCACTTTCATTTTTACAATCAGCTTGTTTTGGTTCCCCGCTCCGCTTCCACAATCAGCTGTGACTTGACAGCAAATTCACTGCCTACACCGTATCTTTACCACCAAGTGTTTTCGCGTTGCATCGCCGTCACTCAGTGCTTCCTTTTATTGATATTGTGCTTCGAACATGGGTCTGGAGTCTGCGATGACGGAGAGCCGGATGGTCCATCCCAAGTACCTCATCGCCGACGCGCGGCCCCTCGGTCTCGCGGGTTTCGCAGCCACGACCTTCGTACTATCAGCTCACAATGCCGGTTCGTATTTTCAAGATCCGTTTTCCGCCGTAGTCATTTTATTTTCCCCGTTTCAGCACACACTTGAACGCGCCGAAATGTAGGAAACACGCTGCAGCAATGCATTTTCGTATTGTGCCGTGACGTTGCAACCTTTGTTTTTATCTTCTGATAACGCAGGCTGGGCTCCTGATACGATCTGGATCGGCATGGCGTTCTTCTACGGTGGACTGGGTCAGTTCATAGCGGGGATGTGGCAGTTCAAGCGCAACTGCACGTTCACCGCGACCGCCTTCTCCACCTATGGCTGCTTCTGGATGGCCAACGGCCTCTTCCACATCCTCCTGCTGCTCAATCTGGTGAGACATTGTCATGACTTACTCAGTATGCTTGTCTCTAGATTGTAACATTGCCTTAGTATACCACGAGATGAATGCGTAACGCTGAGTCGTCACATTGCTGACTCGGAGTCGCAATGCTGACTGATCCGACGGCCGTGCTTATAGTATGCTGACTCGTGACACGTTGACGCACCGTCAGATCCTCCCGGGCCGGCGGTGTCCGTCCGATTCACGAGACGGGATTATCGCGACAGGGATCTGCTCTCAAACGTCTCTTTTCAGAGCCTCCGACAGATCCCTTTCTCCAGCCGTGTCAGCCCTTGGCGTCGGCGCGACGCCCCCTCGCGTCTTTCCAAGTCTCATCATTCCGCTTCCTACGGATCGCTCCCCTCCTTCACCTCCGTCCCCTTGCTGCAGCTTCCCCCGGCGTTCGAGACAAGCGAGTCGGTGGCGTGGTTCCTGACGTCGTTCCTCATCTTCAACACGTACATGTGCGCCGCGTCGCTGCTCATGCCGCTCGTCGAGGTGGTCGTGTTTTTCCTGCTCGAGCTCACGCTCTTCACGCTCATGGTCGGCAACTTCAAGGGCCAGAAGGCCGGCGCGTCGGGCTCCTGGACTATGGCCGGCGGATACATCGGCATCTTCACCGCCGTTGCTGGTGAGTTGAGGGCGGATGTGTTGGGGGGGGATGCGGGGATGCGGGTTTTGAGTCGTCTCGATGGCCGGCGCGTCGGGCTCGTGGACCATGGCGGGCGGATACATCGGCGTCTTCACTGCCGTTGCTGGTGAGTCGCGGACGGAAGGGATGCGGGGAATGTGGAGGGACTTGGCGGAACTGGGGGATTGGGGGAAACTGGGGGGGCCTGGGACCTGATCTAGGGAACGTCACATGGCTTGCCTGGTGGCCTGGGCTCCAGATCTGGTCAAACCAAGTGTGTTTCCGTCTATTTTGACTGTCAGTCTGCTCGGGGTAGCTCAGACCAATGGTGGTGATGCTCACGCGCGGCTGGTATTAACCGACTTTCATGGCTGTGCCTGCTTTCTGTGTGTGTCTTACAGCCTTTTACTACTCCATGGCCTGCTGTATCAACACGATGATGAAGCGCCCCACTGTGTTTGTGGGGAAGCCACTTATTGCGACTAATGACACGGAGGAGGCTTTGTAAAAGGCCTGGCCAGGAAGTTAGCTCAGCAGCAGCACAGATCAGCATGGTTTGAGAACCTTCCATGTTGGGAGTAGCTCAACATAGTGGCACATGCGTGTGCTTATAGTGTAATTGCGTCAGTTACGGTTATTGATATCTGAATATGATATCTGTATCCCATATATTGCTGCTGGTGTATTAGAAGCCTCCTGGTATATCAACATGAATAGTTCGTGATACTAGTAACGATCAACACAATATGATCCCATCAATGCTGAAACCAGATTCAATACAGGGTCCCCCATAACCCTCATTCGCTACAGCCTGAACCACCTTCACTACTCCCTACCCCTGCTTCTCCCTCTCCCTCTCTGCCTGCTGCGTCCGGCCAAGCAGAGAGGGTGAGGCAGCAGCGAGCAGACGGGGGTGGGGAGGCAGCGGCAGAGGGGGAGGGAGAGGGAGGGCGGGGCAATGGCAAGAAATGCTGCAAAGAGGGTGAAGGAGAGGAGGAGGAGGGAGATGGGTAGGCCAATGAAGGGGTAGAGTGCTGGCGCATGGTGCAGGAGGGGCAGGTGCATTGTGAGCATCCCACTCTCTAGTGCTTCCCTGCAGTGGGTGTGGGGCGAACACAAGAACCAGGGGGGTTGGGTGATGAAGGGGCAAATGGTTGTATGTGTGTGGAAATGAATGAACTTGTGGGCACATGGGTAAACAGGTGGGGACGTGTTTGGAGGCATAATCTTCCAGCAGCAAGAAACACAGTCACGGCAGCAGGAGCACACACCTGCAAGGGTGAGGTAGTGCGGGGACACAACACCCAACACTTTGACGTGTAAATTCAAGTACACTGCCACATATGGAACAGACATGTTGCAACAGCACACATCACTTGATTCATTCATACGTATCCAAAGCAGCAAGTGCACGCACCGTGAATCAAGGGTGCGGTAGTGCGGGGACACAACCCCCGACACTCCAATGGAGGAGCAGCGCAGGAGAGTGAGGCCATTCTCTGCCGCCCTCACTGCATCCGTCTCGAATGCCACTTGGCCTATGGCACCCCACGACCAGCTGGGCTGCATGAGAATGTCCACTCTGTGGGTGGCGGTGGGCAATGGTGGGTTATAGGGATGGGAGAAAAGTGGGGATGGGTTAGCATGAGAGTGCCTGCATTGGCCGTTGGCACTCCTTTAGACATCTCAAAATTGTCTCGAACATCATGGGCCTATGGCTTCCCATGGCCAGCTGGGCAGCAGGAGAATCTAACTGTGTGTGGTGGTGGAGGGAGATGGCGATGCCAGGTTGAAACGGGGGGGACGCCGAGGGGAAGGTTCAGACCCGACTCACCACTCACAGATGCACCTCCAGCAACAACAAGATGAGGCTGAGCGCACACAAACACTCACCCTTGTCTGCCCGCCTGGCGGATCAGCGCAGGGAACTGCATGTCAAATGAGACGGCCACAGACAGCCTCCCAAGCTCCGTGTCTACCACTGGCAGGGACCCGGGGCCCGGCTGCACGTTGGCCTCCACAGAGGGAAAGAGGTGCGTCTTGTTGTAGCGCAGGATGGGGGCGCCGTTGGGGTCGATGAGTGCGAACGAGTTGGTGACGAGCCCAGGGGCGATGAGCTGAGATGGGGAGACGGGGAGAAGTGATGGGGGTGAGGGGACATAAGGAAGGGGGCGGGAGAGGGGGGAGGGGGAGGGGGGGAGTTCATAGGAGAAAGAGGCAGAAGAAAGCGTATTTCGTGGTGGACAGTGGCAGATGGGAGAGAGAGCCATTTTTCTCCACGTGTCTGTTTCTGGCCGGCACTAGGTGTGTGCATGCACGCGTGCGCGTGCGCATGTGAGTGTGTGTGTGTGTGTGTGTGTGTGTGTGTGTGTGTGTGTGTGTATGTGTGTGTGTGTATGTGTGTGTGTGTGTGTTTGTGTGTGTGTGTGTGCGTGCGTGTGTGAGTGAGAGAGATAGAGAGAGAGAGAGAGAGAGAGAGAGAGAGAGAGAGAGAGAGAGAGAGAGAGAGAGAGAGAGAGAGAGAGAGAGAGAGAGAGCAACGGACGGGGCGCAGAGGCCCGGCTGCAAGATGGGCTATATCATCCCCATCAACAAAGTGAAGGGCAGCAGCAGAGGCAGCACAAAGAGGAGCTTGGGCTCCCTCATGGGCAGCACTGGCAGTTGTAGCGATGGCAACAAGGTGACTTTTGAGTCGACTCAAAAGGCAGTTGTAGCGATGGCAACAAGGTAAGCAAGGAGCTTGGGCTCTTCATGGGTGCGCTGCAAGGAGCAGACCGATGGACGAGAACTTTGAGTCCGAGTCTGAGACTCTGGGTCTGAGTCTGACCACAGCAGGAGGGGACTGCCTGCACAAATGCCTCCCACTCAAGCTCTAAAGCTATCAAGCTATAAATCCAGCACACGTTATGGAAACGAAACCCTCACCTTTACGTATGAAGCACCCAGGTATGGCCCAAGAGTTGATGGAGCTGCATCGTCCCCAGCTGCAGCACAATAACCAGGGGAGAGGGGAGAGAGAGGGAGAGGGGGAGAAAGGGGAAGAGGAGGAGAGAGGGGAAGGAGGGGAGAGACAGGAAGAGGGGGAGAGAGAGAAAGAGGGGGAGAGAGAGAAAGAGGGGGAGAGGGAGGAAGAGGGGGAGAGAGAGGAAGAGGGGGAGAGAGAGGGAGAGGGAGAGCGAGAGGAAGAGGAGGAGAGAGGAAGAGGAGGAGAGTGACGGAGATGGGGAGAGATAGGTAGAGGAAGAGAGAGAGAAAGAGGGGAAGAGAGAGGAAGAGAGGGAGAGAGGAAGAGAGGGAGAGTGGAAGAGAGAGAGAAGATGATGGCCTGCCACTTCAGCCAACGCTGGTCAGTGGCACTCCAGCGCTCCCAGGCGAACGCCTTGCACACCAAGGCCAGGGCAGGGATTGAGGCGGCACACCCCCAGATGGCAGCGGACCCATGGCCGCTGCACCTGGGGGACATCCTCCACACGCTGGAGGGGTAAAGGGTCACTAAGGGGGGGGACTAGGAGGGGTTAAATGGGATTAAGGGTATCATTGGATAAAACCGCATGTCTGTACCCCTTTGAGAGAAAGATAGGAAGATGGGGAGAGAGAGGGAGAGGGGGAGAAAGAGGAAGAGGGGGGAAAGAGGAAGTGGGAGAGAGAGAGGAAGAGGGGGAGAGAGTGGAAGATGGGGAGAGATAGAAAGTGGGGGAGAGAGTGGAAGAGGGGGAAAGAGAGGAAGAGGGGGAGAGAGAGGAAGAGGGAGAGAGAGAGAGAGTGAGAGAGGGAGAGGGAGAGGTCGACCGAGCATGACTGCTTGGAGATGGTTGACTACGATCGGAAATCGATGGATAGATGGATGGTTCAGCAGAATTCAGAAGCGAAGTGAAGGACAGGGAGAAGGAATGGGAGAAGGAAGGGGAGAAGGAAGGGGAGAAGGAAGGGCAGAAGGAAGGATAGAAATGACGGGAGTTAATGAAGAGCAGTGGAGCGTGAGCAGTTCCTTGTGCAGGTGCAGTGCAGAGGTACCTGGAGGAGAACACAGTCTCTCTCGCTGACCCGGCAGCCATCAGCACCACCAGCAGTGCCGCACTCACTCGCATATGGCCCCACCCGCTGCTGCCTTCCCCCAACCTGTTGCTTCCCCCAACTGCACCTCCTCCCCTTTCCCCACCTGCCCCTTCTCCTCCTCCTCCTATTCCTACTCCCACTCCTACTCCATTTCTCATTGCACCAACACCATTACAGCGCTCACCACACACTTGAATGCTACCCTTCTCCCTCTCCTCCTCCTCCGTGGGACACCTCACATGCCCTTCCCCTCTCCCGCCCCCCTCCTCCCCAACCACCCCGCCACTCCCATCCCCACTCCGACCCCGCATCCACCCCTCCTCGCCCCTCACCACCGCATCCCCCTCAAACATCATCTGGTGAATACCCCCCACCAGCCAGGCCACCAGCAGCAGGACACCATCCATGCCGACATATGCCGTGGCTTGCACGAGTGGCAGCAGGGAGCACAACGAGTAGAACGGGTGGGCTAAGGCACCAAAGGGGGAGAGCAGCGAGAGGAGGGTCCAGATGGAGGCGGAGACGAGGGGGAAGACGAGCGGATGCAGGTGTGGTGAGAGCCTGTGGTGGGGGGAGGGGAGCGGGAGGAAGGGGGGAGGGGGGGTTGAGCACAGGAGGGCGGAAGTGACTTTCGAGCCGACTGAGTATGTGGCGGGAGTGAGTAGACGAGATGGGCAGTGGCAGAGGGTCCAGATGAAGGTGGAGTAAGAGGGAAGACGTGCGCGTGAAGATGCAGTGAGATCCCGTCACGTAAGGTTTGGGGCAGGTGGGAGGAGGGGGAGGGGGAGGGGGAGGGGGAGGGGGAGGGGGAGGGGGAGGGGGAGGGGGAGGGGGAGGGGGAGGGGAAGGGGGAGGGGGAGGGGGAGGGGGAGGGGGAGGGGGAGGGGGAGGGGGAGGGGGAGGGGGAGGGGGAGGGGGAGGGGGAGGGGGAGGGGGAGGGGGAGGAGGAGGGGGAGGGGGAGGGGGAGGGAGAGGGAGAGGGGGAGGGGGAGAAGGAGGAGTCAGCGTGGCATGCCACACATACCACCAGAAACCATCACGCTGCCACAACAACGGCACGTTCGTGCATGCTAATTCCTTCCCTCACCGCTGAGGAAGACATTCGAAAAGTGAGTTTGGCCCCTCTAGTCGAGCTAGCGAGTGATGAGATGAAACGACGATCCTTAAAACTACTAGCAGTGCTATCACGCTGCCACAACAAGCCAACACGTTCAAATGCTGCTGCTCATATTTCTCTCACCATCGCACCTGTAGGTGAAGCGGAAGAGTGAGTAAGCGAGGCATGGCAGCACGTTGGCAACCGCGATCTGGCTGGAGGCGAGGATGTTGGCCGTCGGGGCCATGGCGTACATGCTCGCGTACGTGACTGTCGTGCCGCATGCCTGTGAGAGATATGATGATAGTGAGAGAGAGAGAGCACAGGGGAAGTATCGTGGCTTTCTGAGGCGTCACACGTGATAAGCGTTGCTGTGTGATTGATCAGTTGCGACGTGGTCACCGCGAAAAAAAATGGATCTACAATGTGCACCAAAGAACTGGATCAACTTGATCAAGAAACGGCACGGCAGAAAACGGTTTTCTGCATGCGACGCGCTGCTGCTGCTACCTGCGTCGCAATTACGAGGACGGTGATTGTGATGAGGTTCCGCCACGGCAGGTAGCCCACGCGCGCTGCGGAGAAGAAGCGGAGCATCAGCAGCTGCAGCCATGCCGCCGGCAACACCTCTTGCAGCCCGGTGAACGCGGCACATATCGCGGCGCCCACAAGCAGGGCAAAGCAGCGGGCTGCACCGCGGCTGGGCTCGTCGTTTCTAGTAATTTCCTCGGCGAAAGGGCCGCCCTTCGCCATTGGTGTCGAGAGGCAGCGAACTACGCGATAACTTTTGGCAGACTGGGAGCTACTAAAATGGGGTCGTCAACTTCGAAATTAAATTGACTTGATGTGACTTCGAGAGGCGTGGGATTTTCAACACACATTCGTTTGCGACCCAAACATTGGGCCTCAACCAAACTGTACGTATGCCGGGTCCAAATGACATTTTGTACCGAGGCGCCGAGTAGGGCCCCAACCAGGCCCCTGGATTGCGGGACGTTTACCCTGTTTTTTAGCATTCGTTGCGTGTACCACCCTGTCCATCGTTGAGACTAGATATTTACACTTGTTTATCAGATTGGCTATATTGTGAAACCCTGACGGTCTGAGCTCGTTTATATGAGCACCCTGCTGAAAATCTGGTGTCGACCTCTCAGCTTGATCCAATTTGAGGGAGATTCTATAGGTTCCTTGACTCACTTGAAAAGTAAACGGATTGCTGGGAAATTGCCAGTCACTTTTATATCGGTATGAGTATGAGAATAGCAGGGGCCGTGCCTAGCAAGTAGAGCAGGGTCAGAGGGGATGAGAGCAGACCAGGACACTCAAGCTGGCAAAGTTTTCCGAAGTAATTAGCACAAACCTTTGCTCTCTTTGCTCCTCACAAAGATATAGTGTAGGCGATATTGCCTCTTACTATTAGCCACCTCCCGTCAAAGCTGATGTTGAAAAAGAAAAAAGAAATACAACACAGAGGTCGCGAAATTTGTACACTTCCAGTTCCGATAAGGGTGAAAGAAACACCCTGCGATTTCTTGATTACCCTGCGCCTGCCACACTGCAGTTGCAGGGTGTACCTTGTTGGTAACTCAGAGCCTTGGCCCCACCCAACCACATGGCCAGGCGCCGAGGCGTTTGTACCCAGGCGCCGAGGTGGGCCTCACCTCAACAACTCTTGCCGGGAATAGCTCAACGGACAAGCATCCGACGGTGGTCGGCGGCCGTCGACCACCGTCGACCTGACCGGAGGGCAGAGAAAAACAAAAACCCTATCGAATGGCATGCCATCCGAGGGAGGCATCAACCCTAAACACCATGCGACAAGGTGTTTGGGGTTGATGCCTCCCTGACCGGATGCATGCCCGAATGGGTTTTAGTTTTTTTGCCCGCGGGCAGCGAGCTGAGCCGGGCGGGCTCGCTTGTCGGCTGAGCTATATCATGCGGTAAGAGCGTGTCTGAACCGAAGTAACGTCGGCATCCCTCGACAAACCTTTGAGGTATGTTTGACAACCCCGACGGTCAAGGCGGGTCCAACTCTTTACAGTCAAGCTTGACAGGTGCATCGACGTAAAATTTACGAAAAAATCGGAGAGAACAGATGCTATTGATTAAAGCCCAGGCCCTATATCACAAGAGGCCTTAACAAACTGACTCCAGTTTGTGTCTCACTCCTACTGGTTTCGGGAAAGTAAGGTTTAGGGGAGGGTTTAGAACCTCAAATATCTGCTTTCCCAAACCTGTAATGGGTGTTGTGAAAAACACACGCACTGTGGGCCTTTGTGGCAAATCTTACAAACCACAAGCAAACGGGACCCTTTAGTCCCAAATTCAGGACATTTGCCTGGCAAGCGGTTTTCTTCGCTGCTTGCTTCAACTTCGCATTGCATGGTTCTTCCCTATGGTCATTGTCGCATGACTGACGGGCAGAAATACACAAAAACCTTACTGTTTGATGCCATTATTTATTGAATTCGTAGTTAGGTTTAGGCCGGTCAGCGAAATGCATGAGATGTCATTATCTCGCGTGGTGGGAAATACACGATGGAATGTAGAAGCTATCGCGGTTGAGATAAACAAGAGATTATTCAACTAAACATAATTAGAATATACAATTTGCCTATCAAAGTAGTTTCTGTGGAGAGTCATTACACAACGGGAGTGGACTACGGAGGAAGGCATGGGGTTGTGTGGGTGATCGTAGCGTTGCGCTAGGCGTTCTCACTACTTGCTGTGTTCACAAGGAAATTTGGTAAGAGTTTCACTAAGAAATTGAGAGAACATTGAGTACAATGAGGCATGCAATTCGATATAGCTAGAATGACATTGCAACACCAAGCAAGCTCTCTGCAGGGCGAACTCTGCCAGCGTAGCAGAAGAGCAGCTTGCCAACGCTGCAGCAGAGTAGTTCTGCCAGCATTGCACCGCAGCGGTCTGCCAGTGCTGCAAAGGCAGGTGAACTTCTGCGCATGTGCGCACATACCAAGTAGGTGCAGGTAGGCGGTCGCGCCGCCAGGCACATTGCGCAGGTGCCAGGTAGAACACGTGTCAATGATTTCGCCAGCCGTGCACCGTCGAGCACGTGATGCCGTTCCGCAGGTTGACTTCGCAAACACCTCTTGAGCGACATTCGCCCACACGTCGGATTTCGCGGTCGAGCGACTTGCGTCGACCAGCTCGACGATGCTCCGTCGAACAACATTCTCCTAGCTAAGCACGCCGAGCAAAGCCCGTATACCAGCACCCCTCTACGGGCTCGTCGACCGCGTCCTCTGCGAGCTCGTCGACCGCGTCCTCTGCGAACTCGTCGACCGCGTCCTCTGCGAGCTCGTCGACAGCGTCCTCTGTGAGCTCGTCGACCAGCGTCCTCTGCGGACGACTTCTGCGGACTGGGCGAGATCAAACTTTACGGACAGGTCGATGTCGAACTCTGCGGACAGGTCGACGTCGAACTCTGCGGGCTGTCGACGTCGACTTCTACGCGCAGTCTGCGTCGACTTCTGCGCGCCGCCGACTGCGAAGTCTGCTTCGCCCAAGCGAGGGCGGGGCCATTTCACGTCAACACTCCCCTGCCGCGCTCGCGCTTGGGCAACCCACACACTAGGTCTACCCAGAACCCAAGGGATAGAATACAAGGAGAAACTCCATCTGCGTGCACCCAACACATAGCACGCATGTCACCGCACCAGCCATGCAGAAGGGCACGGCACCTACTGCTGCACCTCGTCATCACCGTCGTCGACGTCGGCCAGACACACTTGGCCGATTGCGACTTAGCACCGGTTGAAAGCCGGAAAATGCAGCGCCTTCGTCAGAAAGTCGCCCGCCTGCTCGGTGGTCGGGATGTACTGCAGAGCAATCTTCCCGCGCTTCACTATATGCTGCAGCCAGGAGTAGTGTCGCTCCATGTGCTTGAGGTTGCTCTTTAACCCCAAGCTCGGTGCGACCGTGATGGTCGACTGGTTGTCCACGTGCAGCACGGTCGGCTTCCCAGCGTCGAGCAGCCGGAACTCTGCAAGAAGGACGACGAGCCTCCTTGCCGGCTTCCGTGGCCGCGACGTACTCCGACTCGGTCGACGAGAGCGTCACACACTTAATGCGCTAGCTCGACCAGGAGACGGCAACCCCTCCGAAGACGAACACGTAGCCGCCCGTGCTCGTCCTGTTCTGCTTGTCACCAGCATCGTTGGCGTCTGCGTAGCCGACCAGACAAAGCGACTCTGGTCCGCCGCCAAAATCCAGAGCGGCGTCAGGGGTGTCTGCAAGGTAGTGCAGACAACGGTCGACCTCGCGCCAGTGGTTGTTGCTCCGCACTGTCAGGCCGCTCCCCAGCTTGCTGCACGCGAAGGCAATGTCCGGCATCGTCGTCGTCGCCGCAAACTGCAGCGAGCCGACCGTCTACCTATACTCTTCCTCTTCGCGTGACTACGCCTTCTCGTCGTTGAATCTCAGCTCTGAAGCGTCGACGGAGACCGGCGTCTTCGGCACTCGCCCGGTCTGCTCCTCGTCGATGAAACGCCGACACAGCTTGTCGACGTAGACTTGCTGGTGAAGCCACAGCTTCCTCGCCGGCGTGTCGCGCACGATCTCCAGCCCGAGATACTTCTCGACCAGCTTGATCTTGCGCAGCTCGAAGGCGGCCTCCAGCAACTCCTTCAGCATTGCGAGGCTGCTGATGGCGGCGAGCAGGTCGTCGACGTAGACGAGCACCCAGCACGTCAATCCGTCGTCGCCGACCTTGAAGTAGAGAGCCTTGTCGACCTGGCATTTCTTCCAGTCGGCGCCAGTCAGCATGTCGTCGAGCGCCTTGTACCACAGCAGCGGCGACTGCTTCAGCCCGTAGAGGCTCTTCAGCAGCTTGCACACTCGGCCGGTCCCGTCGTTGTAGTAGTCCGGCTGGTACATGTAGAGCACCCGGTCGAGCTTGCTCTGCAAGAACGCGCTCTTCATGTCGAGCTGCATCAAGTGCAGGTCGAGGACTACTACGATGCTTAGGATGATCCGCAGAGTCACGTAGCTCCCCACCGGCGCATATGTCTAATCGTAGTCTGCGCCATAGACCTGCGTGAAGCCTTTCACGACCAGGCGGGCCTTCTCGCGGGCGACCGTGTCGTCGACGTGGTACTTCGTCATAAGCACCCAGCGATTCTTCATGATGTTGATACTGCGTGGACGCTCGACCAGCTCCCACGTCCCGTTGGTGATGAGGCTCTTGATCTCCTCGTCCATGGCGGCCTTCATCGCCTTCCCCTTCCAGCTCGC